GGGGGGGGGGGGCTGGCTGTCCTCGGTGGCAGTCCTGCCTTCCTGCCCTCCTTTCTCTCTGCTCCCCTCCCCCAAGCCAGGCTCCTGGGCTTCAGGACCAGGCTGCTGTGTTGTGATCTATGAGCCATAATTGGTATCATGACAGAGTGGTGATCTCACTGAGCCCCCGCCTCCCCTTCCCAGGAGGCGCAGGAGGTGGCAGGCCAGTGGCAGCAGCAGCCGTGCCGGCAGCAGCAGCAGCCATCTACAGGCTCATATCTGCCACGGGAGCCTCCCCAGGCTGCTTGGGAGGACCAGGCTGGGCTAGGTGACTCCAGACTGTGCCTTCCAGCCCCCACTCGCTGCACTCCAATGCCTGGAGGCTTATAAGGTCTCTGATCAAAACCCTGTTCCTGGGCAGGTGGGCTCTCCCCAGGCAGTGCTCAGCCTGGGGGCTGGACAAGGGGCTTTGTGGGAGCCCAGAAAAAAGGGAAGGCGTTGTCTTCCTCAGTCTCCCTGAGTCCCACGTGGGTTCCTGTGTACTGTCACCCTCCTGGATATTGTGTTCACAGGATGGGCATCTAGGGTCCCAGGGTTCTGGGGCCCGTTTGTTTTCCAGTGTCATACAGATTTCTTTCTCTTTCCGCTTTGACCTTGAAAAAGCTCAGTGGTAAAGGAATCCTGCCCCAACACACACCCCTTCCTCTCTCTCTAGACAGTCCTGAGCAGAGTGGAGAGCCAGGCATTGGAGTGCATTTGCATGTGGTTGTAACATGTGAATACAGTATGCACACAATGTGGCCGTGTCATCTACTTGTGTAAATGTGTGCGTGAGCTCTGTGCAGCTTTGTGCGTTTGATATACAATGTGTTGATGGCCCTGAAACACGTGTACTTGTGTACTGCGTGTGTTTGCTATGGGTAGGTTATGTGCTTTGTGTGTGAGTGTGTGTGTTTGTGTGGGGCCTTAAAATCTTAACAATATTATATCAATTAGATAGAACAACTTGATTATTAACTTCTAGAATTCGTAATTCTGACCCAATCGTGTGATATTTGGATGATCTGCAGGTGTGGAGCCTGAACTTACTGTACGATGTGTGTGTGTGTGTGACGCTGCATTTGGTTACAAAGCACTTATGCGTGTGGGGTGTGTTTATAGGTGTGTGAATGTATTTGAATGTGTCCAGGTATAGACACACAGTAAATCTACTCCTCTAGTTTTGTTTTTTTTTTTTTTTTTAAGAAATGTTATTAATCAGAACTTCCCCATAGGGATTCTTAATGTCAGTCACAAGCATGATCATTCACTGGTCTATTCTGATTGCATTGGGGACAGGGACCCCATCGCAGCCATGCATGTCCAGTGTCATGCATGCCCATCTGGATGCAGCAGCCACTGTTGCTCACCAGGGAGGCAACTGTTGCACAGATAAGAATGTCAGTCTTGGCTGGCCCCACAAGATCCCATCTCTCTACAACCCTCTTGGTCACGGTCATTTGGATTAATGGGCTCTGTAAGATCTTAAATTTCCTTCTGAACCATCAGAGAGAGAGCATATCCATGTGCTTTGGTGTTTTCTGATGCTTGCAGAACAACTACCCTAGGCAAACACAGAAATGCTGATTTCTAGCCCACATTTAGATGAAGAGCTTCTGCCCTCTGAGGAGGTGGACAGTGCCCCAAGGGTCTCCACTCTCCAACCCCAGGCCTTGATTCCTGAAATGCCGTGACGACTCCCGGCATGCCAGTTAAAGAGGTTGCCTCTGTGGACACTCAGATAACCTCTGCCCAAGAGAACTCTGGCAACTTCCCCATAAATCACACTGGCCATGAGAAAAGACATTCGATTCCCTGGGCTTTTCATCATGGTCCATTAGGGAATCAGATCAAGGGGTCAGCATCACTGCCCTGGAATGAGGTCAGACTCCACGGGCTCCGAGTTCTCGGCAAAGTCGTCGTACAGCTGGTGATGGATGCCTCTGTCCAGATTCCTGGTTTCCACCAGAGAATCCCTGGCATCGGGTCCCAGGTTGAATCCTTCACTGTGCATTTCTCAAAGCGGCCTATCACTGCACAAACGGTAATTGGAAAATGCTGATTATCTCCCCTGGGAGGCACCCCAGATGTCATGGAAAGGAGCCAGGCTTTGAGGAGGCCAGGACTCGGGACGTGGGGGCACATTTCATTGCCTCTCCAGGTTCAATTGTCTCATCTGTTAACGTTATGAAGAGGAAAGGAAATGATGCCCTTTAAGTCCTCAACCCAGGGCCTGACCCCATGGCAGGTGCTCACTGACATTTAGTTTGGTACAAATTTTAGTTACAATGAAAGCAGGTACACAGGCTGCCTATAATTTCCCTAGACATGATACGTACTTTATATCTCCTGCCCCTTGGTCCCATGGTTTCTGGATGCTCTTTCTTACCTGGCAGGCTCTTTCGAATCTCTGGGTAAGCATCCCTTCCTTCAGAAGCCCCTACTTGGCATACAGCAGGTTTCTCTGCTGTGGACTCTGTCCATCCATCCGCCATGACTTCATCAATGCCCCGTCTCTGACCCCCTTTCTGGGAGGTCAGGGTCTAGTCTCATTTGCTGTTTCCCTGATGCCCATGCAGGTTCTCACGTGGAGAGCTGCTTGGTGACCCACCCAGGCACCCAGTTCCTGGGAGGACCCAGCCTCCCACTGCTCCCCTTGCCGGCCCATCATACCTATGGCGTAGCCGTCGGGGCACTGCAGTTTGAGGTTGCTGTTGAGCTGGGTCGGGGCTGAGCACTGGCCTTGCATCTCCTGGCAGACATGGAAGGAACCACTCCAGGTGCCATCTTTCCGGCAGTGGATGATGTTACTCCCGCGTCCCTGAAGAGCACAGGTACAGAGTCAGGGACCCCAACTATCCATAGAACAAGCCTCTCAGAGTACAAAGAAACCAAAGTCTCATTTCCCACGGGGATGAAAGTGTTCCAAAATGATTTCTTAACAGGGGCTGGCACTTGGTTGGTCATCCTGAAAGAGAGAGACAGTTAATATCTCCATTTTAAAGATGGAGAAACTGAGAACTCTAAACAGGAAGGAACTTGCTCCAAGCTTCCTAGACAATGTCACTCCAGGTTTCCTAAGATCTGAGCATAGTGATCTTTCAGAAATTTCAATCTAAGCCATTGTGCTTGGATTTGTGCTATTGATTTTGTTGTCTTTTTCATAAAATCGAGATGGTGGGAGCCCACCAGCTCTCCTTATTGAGCCAGTGGGAGAGATTTACCAAAGATTGTCTTGGCAGATTTACCAAAGCTTGCTTTCTCTTGGCCTGGGAGAAAGCATCCTATGTCAGGGCTCTGCCTGGCATTTGCTGGGTCACCCCAGCCCAGCTGAGAAGCTTTGCCTTCTGTGGCCTCCCTTGCCTCCCTCCCTCCCTCCCTTTTCCTTCTCTCTCCTTCCCTCTCTGTCCCTCCTTTCCCCAGTCCTTCACTTCCAGCAGTAATAGCACCAAAAGAATGGTGTGGGGCTACTTCTAGTTGTCACCCGCCCACACCTTTTTTAAATAGGCAACGTATTATTCCTCAATCTACAAATTATTAGGCAAATGCAGCTTGACAGCACAGGCCCTTCTTCAAGGCCCTTCCAACCTCCAAGATTCCAGTGGGTGGTTCTTCCTTTGTAGTATTTGAGAACTGCCACCAAATTCAAGGAATAGTCCTACTCTCTCCCCAGCTCTGTAGGGTAAAAACATAGGGGACCAGTATCTGCCCAGGGAGCTGGTGGGAAAGGTGGGCATGGGAACAGCCGGCCACGTCCGTGTAACTGTGCTTAGTGACACAGAGGGCCCCCAGAGCTTTGAGTACTTGGGGAAAGGCAACTGGTGGTGAGTGTACAACCAGGGAAGACCTCTCAGAGGAGGTGGTCCACGGAAAAGAGAGTGCAAGGATGGGAAGAATTCAGGCATCAAAGAACATGCTGGAAGATGGGCATGGGAAATGCCAGGTAAGGTGTGCACAGCAGAGCCTGGTGGTGTTGGGGGTCTGTGATTCAGGGGAGGAAGAAAAGCAGATGAGGTGTGGGCTCTGGAGCCGACTTAAGGAATTCTGACTTTCCCCAAGGAAATGGAGGGGACAGGATGGTTTCTTCACATGGGGTCTTTCTTGCAAAAGATTTGAGAACAAGCTGTACATGCTCTCCCTCTCCTATAATAAGATGAGAGCCTCAACATGGTGACCTTGAGCTTTCATTCAGATTCCTTCTCTGCCCTCTAGGGCCCTCCCACTCCTTCCTGGTGCTCCCCCTCAAGGTCCTCCTCAGCACCTTGAAGGTCAGTTTCAACTACCTGCAGCCCAGAAGGCCGATGTATGATGCTTTCTATTATTTGTGTGTGTGTGTATGTGTGTATGTGTGTGTGCGTGCTTTTTGATCCTCTATGCCCCTATCTCCCTGTCCACCTGGCAAACACCTTATCTATGGGGACCCTGTCTGCTATAATTCCACCCCAATTCTGCACAGTGCACTACCTCAGTATCTCTGACGCAGTGTCATCTCCTGGTTTAGTCTGGTTCCCCCACTAGCTAACGAGCTCCTCAAGGCTAAAGACGGTACCCTATTTGGCCCCATGTCCTCAGGGCCTCTACAATGTCCGGCCCTTCAGTCCACCCACATATCACTCAACAGATATTCTGTTCATTCTGGAACTGGTTGTTTAACCAAAGATGGGGTGAATAGGTGGAGAGTGATGAAATGAAATATTTTTCTAATAAACCGGAAAACACATGAATGCAAAATCGAGGGAATAAATGCATAAGTGAGTAAACAAAGAAGTGTGGGAATAAATGCAGAAAAAGTGAGTGCATAGAGACATGAATCAACTCTTTGAAAGGGCTGATGTGGACGGAAGCTTCCCTGTCTGAGAAAACAGCTGCAAGGAGACAGGATTCAGAACAGAAAAGGGGCCTCCTCTCTGGGTCTCTCCTGGGCCAGCAGGAGAGGGTGCAGTTGTATTAGAAGCCCCTCTGGCCATGGGAGAAGTTGGCCTCTCCCAAGCTGCAGGGCAACTGGCAGAGTCCCTCTCAGTGGTTCTGTGTGAGCTTATGGCAAACTTATGCAGCTTCATGTGGCTTTAGAGAACCTAGACTCTCCCTTTTGGAGCCCCAGGCTCCAGGCCCCATGATTCTGCTGGGCCCTCGAGGGAGTAGGAAATTGACCCCAATTTCCTGGAGCCTTGGCCTGGGCCTATGATGCATTTGGCCTCTAGCCCCTGTAGGGCTGCAGACCTCAGCACTACACGGGCCAGAGCTGGCTAGAAAGCAGGATTTGCAGCAGAGAATATATTAGAACTAGCTGGAATCTGCTCAGGGAGATGCAAACAGGGGAGGCCTCGCCATAGAAGGTGCAAGCAGAAAGCACTGGTCTTGCTGCCTCCAGTCTGCCTGTCTTTCTCTCTTGCTTGCTCGCTCGCTCGCTCACTCTGTGTGTATGTCTGGTTCATCTGGCACTTTCTGCTGTTACATTTGCCTTAAAAATCACAGCAGCCCTCTGCTAGGCTATCTTAGCCTTCAGAATAAGGCAGTCTTGTGGGCCAGCATTCAGGGCTTCCACAATGGAACCCGGAGGACACTTCCAGCCGTGCCTCCTGCTAAGCACACATCCTCCCTTCCAGAAAAGTTAACCCTGCAAAAGTTACCTCTCTTGTTCCCCCCATACCCACACCTTTGCCTGTGCTCCTACAGAGCAGACACCTTGGGGTCTCTAGGTGTTGAGATCCTTCCTTGGAACTCTATTTCAGTGTGCTCAACACTTGCCCACCACCTGCTACACAGTAGATTCTTGCTGATCACTGAGTTGAATTTGACCACGGGGGATTTGATGATGCTGAGGATCCAATCTGGGAAGACCAGAGACCACTGCTGTGGGTGCTGTCAGAGAACTGAACCAATGGCAGGGGTTTGTCTCCAAACACACAGTTCTGCATGCTAAGGTAGAATCTCACAAGAGCACTGAGCATTCTTCACCAAAACAGTTCACCTCTCTGTGCCCATGCACCTGTCTGTAAAGACCACGTGGTATGCTCTGGGTGACCCTAGATCTTTAACCACTCAGATCCACAGAGAGCGAAAGGCACTTTAATAATTCTATTTTTAAATACCTATTACATGCCAAATGCTCTCAAAATCATTTCATCAATCCAGGAGAACAGAAATCATCTCCTTTCTACAGATTTGAAAACCAAGGCTCAGAAACAAAATGAAAAAAGTGATAGCTTTTGCACCACGCCAGTGGAATGGTCAAGAACATGGACTTACACTGCCTAGGTTCAGAAGCCAGTTCTGTAACTTCCCAGCTGTGTGAACTTTGGCAAGCTCCTTCACTGCCTGTCCCTCCATTTCCTGGACTGTTCAATGGACCTGAAGTCCCCTACCCAGGAGTCACCATGGAGGACTGAGGAGTCAGTTTGTGTAATATGTTTCAAGTCTAAGGCAAACCTTGGGGTGAGCACCAGTCGATGCTCAGGACCGCTTCACAGCTCTGTCTTGAAGGGAACTCCAGAATCAGGCTAGCAACCATGGGGTTTAGAAATCGCAGGAGCCAGAAAGAGGAGGCAATTGGGTCTAGGGGTGGCCAATGCACGGCACTGGCCTCTGGGTGCCTCTACTGCCATGGAGGGCGAAGGAGAGCAGAAGGAGAATGAGGCTGCTTCCCCTGGATTAAATAAAAATCAGCAAAATAATAATGGCAGAGGGCAATGTGGTGACATTGGAGCCCGACAGCAGCAGACAGCGTGGATGCCTCGTGTGGCTGAGGTGCCATCACTGTGAAGCAACTTGGCTCAGCGACTGGCACCGGGTGAGTGTTCACCAAGTGCCAGATGCTGCTGGCTATTTTCCTCTACTTCCTGTCAAGTCCAGGGGTGACAGGTAGCCCCAGTAATGAAGATGGGCAGAAACGGTGTCTTGTGCCGTGTTGTGGTACAGAGATCCAGCTTGAGGCCTGGCTCTTCCAATAACTTGTGCAACTCAGGGTAAGTCTCTTCTCCTCTCTAGGCTTCAGGGGCCCCTTCTGGGGTGGCAGTGAGGATCCAGCTGAACTGTATTTATGGACAGCACAGGGTGTGTGGGCACACATTTAACAACCCCGAAATGAGATGCTGCCCCTACTTGCCAAGGCACTGTACCCACAGAGAGGCAAACTGTTTTGGTAAAGAATGCTCAGTGCTCTTGTGAGATTCTACTTTAGCAAGCAGAATTGTGTGTTTGGAGCCAAACCCATGCCGTTGGTTCAGTTTCCTGACAGCACCCACAGCAGTGGTCTCTGGTCTTCCCAGATTGGATCCTCAGCATCATCAAATCCTCTGTGAGACCCATGCTGTGTCCACAGGAAAGACTATAAAGACAGGGGCCAGCAAAAACATAGCTACTCTCCCATCCTTGCGAGGAACTGAGGTGCTGTGGATCTTGCTCCCACCTTCCTCTCTTGATTTGCTAAGATCAGTCACCAAGTGCCCTGCTTGGACCACCAGGCTCCGCTGGGCCTGTGTCCTGTCCCGCTGCATGCATCTCCCAGAGACTCTATCCCAGGTCAGGGCTGGCCCTTCCGCTAGTCACCTGCAAAACCCCACAGTGAATTTGGCAGGTTGGGCCTGCATTATCATCTCAGACCCAGGAGACTTGGAGCTGGATTAACTCTGAGACAATTAGCACTTCATCCCAGCTGCCTGGGGATGGAATCCCTGCCCTTTGCCACCAGCCTGCCCTGGAAGTGTTTAGAAACAAAGGGACAAGCAGGACCATGGAGTGGAATACCCCTTCTTATCTCAGAACTGTGGACAAGAACGGAGCCTCCTCAGCTACAAAATGGGAATGCCATTTCTTTTTTCAAGTTTATCATGAGTTATCAAAATAAGAATCTTTAATAGTGGCTTGGCACTCACAGAACACCAAAAGAAATAGTTGTTATTACTAAAGTTCTCTGTCTTGATTTAGAGGGACCAGAACATACAAATGCCAGACGCTGAACAGTGCAATACCCTAAGTATAACTGTAGCTGTTTACATTTAAATTTGAATTGATTAAAATGAAATGGAACTTAATATTGAGTTGCTCGGTCACGGTAAGCATGTGTCCACTGCTTGGAAGCTACATGGGGGCAAGTGATGTGCTACAGATTGACCACAGTAGAAAGTTCTACTGGGCAGGGCTGGTCTAGAGGGACTAGTGGACCATTTTAGTCTACAGATTTATTTGGTTTCCCCATGGCTCACACAGGTCCCCCCACACCCATCTGGCCTTTCGCATGGTAAGTGCCCCTGTCTCTGACTTTCTGGAGTCCGCCAGCAGAGGGCTACGTTTCAGTCTTGCCTTTGTTTCTCACATCAGGGATTACCTGCTCCAGAATGACCTCAAAAGGCAGGTGAGTTCATTTGTGTCTTCCCAGGGGCTGACACAGAGGGTAATGCCTGCAGGTTGGATAGAGCAGAACTCCAAGGGTACCCCTAGCCACACCCTACTTTCACTGCCTGCTCAGTCCTCCCAAGGACACTATGAAGTGGGTAGTAACTTGCACGCGGAAACCGAGGAAACCAAAGCTCGAAAGAAAAGTAACTGGCCCTCCAGCTGCTAGTGGTGAAGCTGGGATCCTAACTCAGGTTCCAGATCCACCATTTTTCTGGCTCCCATGGAATAAATGGAGGTTTTATTTATCAATTTGCTTTTAGTGGCGGTGGGAGGGAGTGTGTGAGTCTTTCCCTAGAGTAGCCCCCGGCCTTTCCTGCCAGGATCTGGAAGTTGTTTGGAAAGCTCGGAATTTCTGCACTTTACAAGCTGTTCCATTCGGGATGCTCTGGGCCATACGTTTCTTGTGTTTACAGGCAGGGAGAGGGGATCTGAGGTGAATCCCAGCCTTGGCTCTCCGGCCTCTGGTCTGAGGGAGGAGGAAATCCATTTTCAGTACAAACGAGACACGTCAATTGTATTAGGAGCCCATTTGGCACGGACGCCCGCACCCTTCAAGCCGACAAGCAATACTCTGCTCGGCCGTCTAGCCCCTCCACCCTCCGCCAAACAGAGCCGCTCGAGTCACCTGATAAATTTACATATTCCTCTCCTTTAAATACAAACTGGCCATGAAAGTTACTTGGCAGGACCCAGGCCGACTGAGTTTCAGTTTGATAACATGACCACGGCCAGAATCTCATTTGACTCAGCAGTTTGGGTAACGGTTAGCAACAGGTTTATGTAAGGGAGCGTGAGAGAAGCTGATTGGCCTGCGAGAGGCTGTGGTAGCCTCTGGCCTCTGCTGGTTCCAGCACTGGTTCCTGCTGCCCTGACAGGCAAGGGTGGGAGTGTGTACAGCTTGCACAAGTGTGTACCAAAGCCGAGGAGTGTGTGCTGCCAAGGCTCATCAGGTGCTGCCTGCTGGACCCAGGCTAGCTGAGGGCAACTGGGCTCTGCCTCCATTGATACCAGCTGTGCTACCTTGGGTGTTGAGTGCAACCTCTCTGAGTTCTGACTTACTCAAATATGAGAGGATATGGCTTCCACGTTTATTTCATCCCTTTCTCGTGACCTTAATTCCACTGTCACTTCCTGGGTACCTACTAGGTGCCTGGTGCTGTCCTAAGTGCTGAAGGTGCTGCGAAGTGAAAGGAGCAGGGGAGGATTTCACAGTGCGGTGTGGGAAAGAGAAATGAAAGCAGATGATGATAATGTCCTGTGGCCAGTGCTGTGAAGGGGGAACCCTGAGAGGAGCACTGAGCCCCCAAACAGAAGAGAAGGGGCTACGGGAGGAACAGTGCCTGGGCTGAAGCATGGAGCATGGTGAGTAGGACGACAGTTGGAAGGGGCAAGAGAATTGATTAAGGCAGAGAACGCAGAGGAGGGAGGGAAGGAGATCCGTTCTACTGGAGATGGAAAGGGTCTGCAGGCTGCCCAAGGAGCTGGGATCTTACCCCCAAGGACAGAGGGTTCTGGCTCCTGAAGGGCTATAAGCAGAGTGATGTCATCATCAGAAGGGGAATGAACAAGAAGCTCAAGGTGGCCCGGGAAAGAGGGGATGGTGGCCCAGGTCAAGGGGGTGTCGTTGGGAACAGACGAGAAGAGCGTTGAGAGATGTTCTGGAGGGACAATGGGCAGGGCTGGGGAATGGCTTGGATGAGGGAGAAGGAGAAAGAGGAGTCAACGATGCTGCTCAGGCAGCACCTGGAGAGTGGAGGCTCAGACTAGCAAAGACCAAGAGAGACCAGAGGAGCCTGGCTAGGATGAACTGCACTGTGTCCCCTTCTTCCCCAGGATTCACAAACAGCCCTGCTGGCCCTGCTTGGGTCCCTTTCTCTCTGTGCCTCAGGAGACAACAGATGTCTACAGACAGCGATGCTCTAGTGACCGTAAACACACCAGGCACCGATGCAGGAGGCCAGGGTACGGCAACGGCCCTGGTCCCTCCTATCAGAAAAACTTCACTCCTCGGTTTCTTCCTCCGGGATTCTACACGAGACTTCCTCTAGCGCTAAAATAAAAATTCAGCTAAGAATCTTTGGACAAATATAACAGTGTTGTCAGATGAGAAATGAAGCTGGGAGAGATTACCAGGGGAGACAGTTGGTCACTCCCACGGTGGCGATGCTGGCGTTCTACACGCCAGGCCTGGGCAGACGGGGTGCCGGAGAAGGGGACATTGAGGGTCAGGTGGATCTCTGGCCAGCAGAGAGGAGGTGGTTGCGGAATGGATCCCAGTTTTCCACGAGGCTTACCTGGGAGGCATCACTGTCTTCGCACTTGATCCTACACTCGCTGTTGAACTGGAAGCCATTGGTGCACTGGTAAAGCCCGTGGAATTTGGGTGGAGGCGGGTCACAGGTCACAGGAACACAAGCGCTCTCCTGCCAGCTGCCATCCTGGGTACACTGAGTCTTGAAGGCCCGTCTTTAAGAAAGAGATGACAGAAGAGACATCGTAAGGACCAGGTGGCTAGCTCCATGCCCTCCCCAACACCAGGGGGTGGCCTCACATCTCTCTCCCTAATCTTGATTCCCTGCCTGACCCGTTGGGTGGTGGAGCATGTACAGAGATAAAGGAAACCCCGTTCACAGAAGCCCTGCATAGGAGGCAGGCAGGACTGTCAGGCTTTCTCAGCTACATGTGGGTTGAGATAAAACTCAAGCTCCAGGTGCCCCTTTCTCTCCCTTTCTCCCCAAGTGTTTTGATGGGTGCTGGCACAACGATGATACCCACTCCCACTGTTTATTGAACAACTGCTATGTGAAAAGCACTTGGCAAGCACTTGGCACACAGCCTCCTTGACTCCTCACACCCACCTGACGGGGTGACTGGTACTACCATCCTGATCTTGCCACTGAAAAATGGAGGCTGGAGAAGGAAAGGCACTTGCCTGAGACCACCTAACCACTCTGCAGCCCGGCTGGAATAACCCAGTGGCACGACTCACAGGTAGGTACTGCCTCCTGCAGAGCCATGAGCGGGTCCTTCCCACTGGGCAGTCCATCTGCCTCTGCTCCTCCCCCGATCCCTTGGGGACTTTCCTGGGTACACTTACTTCTTTGACTTCCGAGAGGAGCCGGGCACGTGGTATCCTGGTTTACACTTGTACTTGCAGAAGGAGCCCACTTTGTGCTTGTTCTCTCGGCACCGGGCCGTCTGGAGGTCTGCGTTGGGCACCGGGGGTGGAGCCAGGCACATGAGCTCACACAGGGCCTCTGGGAAGGACCACAGCCCATCCTCCATACAGGTCAGGAAGCTGTTGTTGCCTGGAGCACACAGAGAGGCAGAGGTAGCCAAGAGGAGTCCCTGAGAGTTGAGCTAATGCTCTGGCTACCTGGATTTTAGCCAGCTTGATGGCCCAGAGGATCCTTGATATAAAATTCCAGTTCCTTCCACCTATAACTGAGGACCCAAGGGAGCTCAAGAGAGCTGCCGTGAAGGAGAGGAGGCTCCAGCTGGGGGAGATGATCACCCTGTACCTGCAGTGAATTAAACTCCAAGGCTTCCGAGGCCTGACTCTCAACCTCTCGCGCTGCACCAGAAAGAGGCTTTTGCAATCCCTCCTGTCTCTCCCTTTCCTGGGCATCCTTCCCCAGAGGTGAAGGACTTGCTTTCCAACAGTTGACAGCATGCACTCCTCTCGGAACTTACTCCAAGATCTGCTATCAGTGCTCTGTGTACCACTCCCCTGAGGCCTGGGCCCCAGAATCTGTTCTGGCCCGCTGGTGCCTGGAAGTGACAGCATCGTGTTATCAGGAGGTTTGACTTTCTGTCAGGCCCCGGCGCTCAGTGAAGCTCTGCCAAGGCAGCTGAGAGCACAGCACTTCCTCTCAGCCTGTGCCAGCGCGGACAGAGTGCTGATTGCCACCGGGATGCTGGCCTCATGGGGAACTTTGCAAAGAGAAGTAATACTCAGCAGTGAGGCTCCTCACTGCCAGCTCATGTATTATCAAAGCACAGCCTGCCCGAGACTCCCTAGGACAATTACAGGAGGACCTGAATCGTGTTTCTCCGTGGAACATCCCCCTTCCTGGCTATTAGTGAATGGCGCTGACAACCAGGGCTGGAAGCCTGGGATTTGAAGGCTGGAGGGGTGGAGTGACAGGGAGGCAACTGACATTTACTGAGCAGTTACTACGCACTGAATGATTCTCTTATGCATTCTTTTCTGTTCTCATAATCAACAGTGGGTTTTAGTGTGACCATTTTCACGTGGAAATGGAAACTCAGAGAACAAGGTGACTGACTGGACTTCTTAGCTTGTGTTACAACCTCTATAGGAAAAGACAAAACTCAGGTTCAACATTAATTTTGTCTAATCAAAGGGTTGGTTGTTTTTAATGGGAAGTTGGCTGTATATGCTCAGCAGAGCCCTTATTTTCCATTCTGGGAAAGCCCACTTCAACTTTCCTAACCGTGGAAAGTAAACAGTTGCTTTCTGATGCTGAAAAGATCAAATGCAATGACAGTCATGAAAAGTGCTGTTGATGTCCTTCTTGCTTCACTTCCTCTCTCCTTCCCTCCTCCTTACGCTTTCACCTTTCCTAGCAGGTTTGAAAGGAGCATGTGAGCTGCACAGAATCCTTAGTTCATTCAACAGGCATCTGTTCAGTGTTGGCTATGTGCCAGAGGCTTTTATAAATTGGGGGCAAAGCAGTGACCAAAACAAAATAAAACAAACAGAAAAAAATAACCCTGCCCTTTTGGAGTTTATAATCTAAAGAGACAGGAAGAGATGCAATAAATCATACGAAAAAAGTAGATGACTTATTGTGTTAGAGGATGGTGAGGACTACGGAGAAAAATAAAGTAGAAAAGGGAGAGAGTGATTTGCAATGAGAGGTCGGCCCCTCTGCTTTTCCTAGCAACATTCATTTCCTTCTATTTCTTCCCTTGTAAATACAATTTCTCTCATAAGAACAAGACAACTCGAGGTCTGTAAGACCCACAAAAAGCACTACATTGATAAACTGTGGTCCTGCCCACTACAGATACCTTCCCATCATGTAAGAAGGGTAAAGGAGCCAGGCACAGAGGTGCATGCCTATAATCCCAGGGGGTTCCAGAGGCTGAGATAGGAGGCTTTTGAGTTCAAAGCCAGCCTCAGCAAAAGCGAGGCAATAAGCAACTCAATGAGAACCTGT